GTATTTTTTTAAATAATAGGAGATGTGGTGGTTTGAACAAAAATGCCCCCCATAGACTCAGAGGGAGGGGCATTGTTTGAGGTGGAGCCTTGGAGGAAGTGTCACAGGGGGGTGGGCTTTGAGATTTCAGAAGTTCAAGCCAGGTCACATGGCTCATTGCCTCTTCCTGCTGACTGCTGATCCAGATGTAGAAGTCCCAGCTACCTCTCCAGCACCATATCTGCCTGTGTGCCGCCATGCTTCTCTCCATAATGATAACGGACTAAACCTCTGGACTGTAAGCCAACTCCAGTGAAATGTTTTCCTTTAAGAGTTGCCGTGGTTGTGGTGTCTCTTCACAGCAATAGAACACTAAGACAGGCGAGCACACCATTTTTTAAGATGTATTTATTATATTTCTGCGTGTGTATGTGTGTGCTATGTGTATGCCTGGTTGCCCACAGAGATCAAAAGAAGAAGGCATTAGGTCCTGTGGAATTGAGTTCCATATGGCTACGTGCCACTATGTGGGTGCTGGGAACTAAACCCGGGTCCTCCGCAAGAGCAACAAGTATTTTTAGCCACCAGCCCCTCTTTTTTGAAATTGTTACACTAACCCAGGCTGACCTCAGACTCTTGCTCCCCCTGCCTCTGCCTCTGTGGTGCTGGGATTATGATATGTGCCACCATTGCTGGTGCGTGTGTGTGCACACACACACACACACACACACACACCTGGCATTTGTGTGGGGTGGGGGTGGGGCGCGTGAGCTAAGCAGCACTGCACTGAGCTTCTCTCCTAGCACTGATGTCCATCTCTACCATTAGCACTGAGCTTCCTTTTGTATCTTCCAGGCTAGTCTGGAACCTGCTCATTTCTGGGGGCTTTTGGAGCCAAGAGATGAGCCCACGGTTTACAAGGATGTGGGGTCCTTGAATACTTAGGCAAAGAAAGCATGTTTAATCCTTGTCTTGGGAACATCAGCTTTAACGGGCTTCAGGTTCAACTGCCAAGAACCCATCACTGAGTGCAAGGTAGCAGGTCATGTGCCTGCCCTCGGGATGTTTTAGCCAACACTTCACTTCTCACTGGGCTGGGAGGCTGATTCCATGGAAGAGCCCTTGCCTAGTCGGATAGTCAACAGAGGAGCAGTATACAAGTCAGCCACCTGTGATGAAAAGAAACGCTTGCAGAGCTAATGGGCAGGAAACAGGCAGTCAGAGCCAAGTTTCAGACTGTCGTAGGCATGAGAAGTCTGCCAGCTTTTCCCACCACAGTCAAAACAGCCAGCCTGTTGCAGGGAGTGACTGTGTCAGAGAGCATGGTCATCGTTAACCAGATGCCTGTGGCCTCTCGGGGAGGAAGGTGACTTGGGTGAAAGCCAGTGTGCACCTGGTCTCTGCTCCGCTCCACCTCCTACTTCTGCACCCCTTGGTGCTCTGCATCAGCTCTTTCCATTTGCTGACCTTAATCCCGATGACCAAACTCTTATCCTTTGGCCTCTCTGTATATGTGGTGCCGAGTGGGAGACGGTGAGCCACCCAGGCCAAAAACAATCCCTAAGCCCTCCTTTGCAGGATCCAGTTTAAGTATAGACTCCCAGGCTTGTGATAGGTGGGGTGACACATGCCTTTAATCCCAGCAATCAGGAGGCAAAAGCAGGCAGATCTCTGAGTTTGAGGTCAGCCTGGTCTACAGAGCGAGTTTCAGGACCGCCAGGGCTACATAGAGAAACTGTCTCAAAAAACAAAGAAAACAAGAAAGTTAGCTTTGCATAGCAGTACGTCCATCAGCCCAAAGAGTGGAATATATTCCCTAGCAGGGAGGAGTGACTTCTGCCACGATGCCTCCTTTCTCTGACTGGTGAGTACCAGGTGTTAGGAGCAGGGACCGACACTTTTAATACCAGCCTCAGCCAGGCCCCTCCCCCAAGGCTATTTCCAGATCACCCAACACCCCAGACAGGGCAGCCCCTCCCAGTTCTTGGCCCTAGCAAACCCCAAACTGTGTCAATCAGAGGGCAGTGAAGAGGCCAGGTGGAAAGAGAGAGGCCTCTGGGAATCGGGGCAGCAGGTGGTACTGGTAGTGAAAAGCCCTTGTGGTCAGAGATATTGCAAGGCACGGACATAAGTGTCCTGGCTGACCGACAAGGGTCGCTGTGGAAAAAGCCGGAGAGAGAGAGAGCAGAATGCCCAAGCTTAGAACAGGGATGTCTTTAACCAAACGACAAGAGAAAGCCAGCCATTCAAAGGTGATGTTCTCAGAATGCTCCGCGTGAGGTGATTCTCCAGGGGCTCTGGGACGTGGGTGAGACAGAGCGCTGGTGCAGGAAGCGCATATCCAAAAATAGACTTGTGTAAATGAATCTGACACACAGGGACAGTAACTCTGGAGAACGTGTTGAGGTTAGGTCAAGAGGTGAGCACAGCCACTAGACGAGGAGCTGGTGGGTTACTTAGGCCACTGCGTTTCATCCGGGGTCTCCACCAGCCATAAACATTCTAGATCTCCCTAGAAAGTGGCATTCCGCACGGAAGGACAGTTAAAACCCAAAAGACAACGCACCCCCCTCCAGTCCTCCCCTTCATATTCCCTCTGCAGTATGTTAAACAAGGGAGTATTCCGAAAAAGTAACAAAAACATTTAAGATTGGGGTTCCAGAGCTGGAGAGATGGCTCAGTAGCTAAGAACATTTGTTCTTACAAATAACCTGGGTTTGGTTCCCAGCACCCACATGGCAGTTCACAACCAACTGTAACTCCAATTCCAGAGGATCTGATGCCTTCTCCGACTTCTTCTGACCTCCTAATGAACCAGGAATGCACATGGTGCACATATATATTCAGACAAAACATTCGTACACATAAAATAACTCTTTAAAAAAGAAAGAGCTGGGCAGTGGTGGTTGCACCACTTTAATCCCAGCGCTCCGGAGGCAGAGGCAGGCAGATCTCTGTGAGTTTGAGATCAGCCTGGTCTACAGAGAGTTCCAGGATGGGCAGGGCTACACAGAGAAACCCTGTCTCCAAAACCCAAACAAACAAACAAACATCAACAATAAAAAGAAACTGAAGGGCTGGCCAAAGAGCTTAGTAGATGACCGCTTTTCTGAGCAGGGTGGCTTTCTGGGCCCTTCCTGTGTGTCTCCCAGCAATCTTTCCTCATGGCAGTCCCTTTACCTCTGTGCCTCGGTGTCCTCCTTCGGCAATGACTTCTGAAAAGAGGGGGAGGGCTGTCCTGCCTGAGTCAGAAAGCAGCCACTTTAACTTTTCTTCCCTACTTAAAGGATCTCTCTGTGGAAAGAGAGAGAGAGAGAGACAGACAGACAGACAGACAGACAGAGACAGAGAGAGACAGAGAAAGAGAGAGAGATGGTGGAGGAGGGAGACATTATAAAATTCTGT